ATGTATACATACACACAGTTAACAAATAGTATACACATGTGTGTGCGTGCATGTATATGTGTGTGCTGGTATATAGACATGTGAATGTGCATGGATGCATGGATGCGTGTATGTGTATGTGCATGCATTGGTGTGTGGGTGCGCTATATGGGCGTATGCATGTATGCCTGCTTGTGCAAACATGTATGTAAGTATGCATGCATGTATGATGTGGTTTGTAGTATTGTGTATGGTGTAGTATGAATTATGTGTGCACGCGCGTGCGGATTGCGTACGGTTCTCTTTCAATCCCCCTCTGCTTCACGGATGCCGAGACTCATGAGGTGCACATGGTACTCCAGCAGCTCGAAAATACTTGAGAGACTATTCTGCCCAAGTCAAGGGGAGGGGGAAAAGTGGGGAGGATAATGGCCATGCCCTGAAACCTCTGAGTCTAGAGCTGTATTATGTAGGCGTCAGGCCCCGAGTCTAGAGATGCTCTGAGACGTCAGGGCCTACGTCATCTGGGCACTTACTCCGAACTCGAAGACTACAGCACAGGCATAGAAAATCACTGAATGTCAGAAGCAACTTCCCCTCATCCTCGCAAACAACGCATACGTGACCGCGTAGAAGCTGTGCATCGATCAAGCTCAAGGTGGCATCCAAATCACAACTTGGCCACATACAAAAGATAGCCGTGCACACAGAAAAGACATCGAGGAGAATGCGCGATAGCCGGCAGGAGGAGCATGACGGAAACGGCAGCAGGTACTCAGGACGCCGTGAGATCCAAAGCCTGACCTTCAATATCCTGATTGTTATCTTCATCGCTGATCACCAGAAAGTCTCGACCCATTCGCCGGGAACGGGTTTGCATCCCCAGTCGTTCTTTGATGGCACCAAGGCTGATTAAGGGCTTATGGAGGCAAAAAACTGCTAAAACCGTCCGTCGTGATGTGTTCGAGTCACGACTAGAGGGCCCCGCGGACGGGTCGCGCGCGCTGCCTTCTTCAGCACGCCGATGAGGGCCTGCAAATCGCCGCAGGCAGGAGCCGAGAAGAGATGGTGTGTTAAGCCTTTTGGGGGAACCTCGCCAATTTCTTCAAACGCCGAACACCATGGGCGACACAACCACATCGCGAGTCAAGATGTCGCTAGGCAAACCAGGTACACCGCACCTTCGGGGAGACCTCATCTGTCCCACCCCGCCAGCCATCCGTGTCGCATCCATGCCGACTCCACGTCGAACGAGCCGAATCCGTGCCGAATCTGCGTCGACGTCACGCCGCATCCGCGCCGAGCCCCCGCCGAGGTGCAGCAGAGGACTGCGATGTGCAGCGGAGCGAGGCGCGGAGCGAGGCGAGGATCGGGGCGAGGAGCGGGGCGAGGATCGGGGCGAGGGTCGGGGCGAGGGGTCGGGGCGAGGGTCGGGGCGAGGGTCGGGGCGAGCATCGGGGCGAGGGTCGGAGCGAGGGTTGGAGCGAGGCGAGGATCGGGGCGAGCATCGGGGCGAGGATCGGGGCGAGGATCGGGGCGAGGAGCGGGGCGAGGATCGGGGCGAGGGTCGGGGCGAGGATCGGGGCGAGGGTCGGGGCGAGGGGTCGGGGCGAGGAGCGGGGCCAGGCGCCAGCAGCGAGGACGCCCGAGAGTGAAGGGGCCCGAGGACACACACATAAGTACACACACAAATAAAACGATTCCCCATCTCTTCCCGTATGTTCTGGGTTTCTGTCTTCCCCCCACTTCCCATATTTTCCTATATTTTCTGGGGAATCGAGGATTAATTGTGTCTGTGTGTGTGTTTCCCTCTCCTGAGAGAGGCCTCCCCCCCGAGGGTGCGAAGAGCAGCCGAGGAGCCGACGGGGCCGAGGAGCGCTGCGGCCGCAGCCGGCCGCCCGAGGGCCCCCGCCTCGGGGCACCGCGCGCGGAGGCTGGCAGCGAGGCGCCGCTGGCCCTCCGCGCTCCGTCGGGCCCAGGCCGGGAGGAAACCTCCCCCAAGAGGTGTGGGTGCCACGACCATGGACACCCCAACAGTCCTATCATCGGGAGCGGCCAAGAGGGGGGTGTCCAAGAGGGGGGGGTGCAAATCATGGCCGGCGGCATGTGCGCGGCCCAGCGGGGGGGCCTGGGACGTAATGAAACAAGAAGAGGCGCCATGAAATCTGGGGAGATATCATGGCCCCCGCCATGATATCCACCCCCCCCTAGTCATCCCCCCCCTCTTTTCCGCCCCCGATATCATTAAATTGAAGATGTGTTTAAAACATGTGCGAAACATGTTCTAAAAATATATTGCACATGTTGTTTTGCATGTTTGAAACATGTTTGTAACACGTGTCTTAGACATCTGGAATTTGTTTGGCAGCATGCTTTTCTCTCCGTCAATCGACTTCCACAACCCAAGAGCATGAGGCCCTCCGCCGGCCAAAACGAGCAGAGCATCCAGGGGTACGCTCCCCAGGATGCACGAGAGCATCTAACAGGCGCGCAGAACACACCAAGGTCCAAGGTGCCCTCCGCGAACCGGCCTCGATCTCATACCTCGGTCCGACTGCAATCAGAAGCGGCGAAGGCATCGGGCCCGGGGGTCCCCGGGGTCCCCGAGGGCATTCAGAGGCCGAGGTGGTCCCACAGACATCCCACCACGCCCAGAAGCCTCAAGGGCTCGAAAAAATCCTCAGGAATCCCTCCGGAATCCAAAAGAGGATCCGCCTCCTCCACTCCCTCCGCCTCCTGATCCTCCTCATCCTCCTCTTCGTCCTCCACAGTTACACAATGAATACTGCTCTCCTCTCTCCCCTGATGACGTCCGGAAGATATCCGGCCCCCCTCCGCGCACTGTTTTTAACAGACGACAAGATTCCCGGGAAACGGGTTTTCGCTTGGGTTGTTTCCAAAATGTTGCTCCCGCTGAAGCGCTGGCCTCGTTCTCGAGCTTCCGCTCGTTCCGAATCGTGCTCCAGCTGCAGCGCTGGCCTCATTTCCGCGCTTCCGCTCGTTCCGAATCGTGCTCCCGCTGCAGCGCTGGAGGGTTTGATAAGGCGATGTTGAAATCAGAACAAGCGGGGGCTTTCCATCAGCCCCGCCCTGTGTGGAGCACCCCAGGAAGCCCAATGAGCCAGACATGGAGCCCTCCTCCTCCTCCTCCTCCTCCTCCTCCTCCTCTTCGTCCTCCTCCTCCGTCTCCCTCTCCGCCTCCGCCTCCGGCTCCGCCGCCGCCGCCACCGCTCCGCCTCCGCCTCCGCCTCCGCCTCCGCCTCCGCCTCCGCCTCCTCCTTCCTCCTCCTCCTCCTCCTCCTCCTCTCCTCCTCCTCCTCCTCCTCCTCCTCCTCCTCCTCCCTCCTCCTCCTCCTCCTCCTCCTCCTCCTCCTCCTCCTCCTCCTCCTCCTCCTCCTCCTCTCCTCCCCTCCTCCTCCTCCTCCTCCTCCTCCTCCTCCTCCTCCTCCTCCTCCTCCTCCTCCTCCTCCCTCCTCCTCTCCTCCTCCTCCTCCTCCTCCTCCTCCTCCCTCCTCCTCCTCCTCCTCCTCCTCCTCCTCCTCCTCTCCTCCTCCTCCTCCTCCTCCTCCTCCTCCTCCTCCTCCCCTCCTCCTCCTCCTCCTCCTCCTCCTCCTCCTCCTCCTCCTCCTCCTCCTCCTCCTCCTCTCCTCCTCCTCCTCCTCCTCCTCCTCCTCCTCCTCCTCCCCTCTCCTCCTCCTCCTCCTCCTCCTCCTCCTCCTCTCCTCCTCCTCCTCCTCCTCCTCCTCCTCCTCCTCCTCCCTCCTCCTCCTCCTCCTCCTCCTCCTCCTCCTCCTCCTCTCCTCCTCCTCCTCCTCCTCCTCCTCCTCCTCCTCCTCCTCCTCCTCCTCCTCCTCCTCCTCCTCCTCCTCCTCCTCCTCCTCCTCCTCCTCCTCCTCCTCCTCCTCCTCCTCCTCCTCCTCCTCCTCTCTCCTCCTCCTCCTCCTCCTCCTCCTCCTCCTCCTCCTCTCCTCCCTCCTCCTCCTCCTCCTCCTCCTCCTCCTCCTCCCTCCTCCTCTCCTCCTCCTCCTCCTCCTCCTCCTCCTCCTCCTCCCTCCTCCTCTCTCCTCCTCCCTCCTCCTCCTCCTCCTCCTCCTCCTCCTCCTCCTCCTCTCCCTCCTCCTCCTCCTCCTCCTCCTCCTCCTCTCCTCCTCCTCCTCCTCCTCCTCCTCCTCCTCCTCCTCCTCCTCCTCCTCCTCCTCCTCCTCCTCCTCCTCCTCCTCCTCCTCCTCCTCCCTCGGAGTGGGGCGAACGCAGCCGCGCGCGGCCATGGGATGCGGGCTCGCGGAGGACGTGGCGGGCATGCGACCGGAGCCAGTCGCCTCTCTTGCCTTCCCAGGGCGTAGGCTTACATCGGGCACGTCCTCCCACAGGCGGACTTCGGAAGAAACATGCACAACAGTCCATAAATGCCAAACAATGAACCACAAATCGTCCCCAGACAACTTGCTTGATTAGTTTGGGATATTCATTCTGTAGAAGAGGGGCATGCCCGACTGTCGGCGGTGGACAAACCTCCCTTTAGTAGACCTCCCCTTAGTGAAAACGGCCTGGGACCGAAACCGACGGACCTGGACCCGCAAAAATGACGGCCGCGACGCCCTCTCGCGAACCGAAAACGGCCAATTCCTTAATCGACATGTCAGGGTAGGAGGTCTGTCCACCCCCGAGACTGAAGCGCAGGCTCGGGCCACGGGGTGGTGGCGCGATCGGAGCGGTCCTGCCACGGCGCTGCAGCCCGCGGCGCGGCCGAGCTGCCAGGCAGCCACAATCGGCGCGCCTCTCACCGATCCCCGTCCCCACCGGGCCACAGCATCTCATCCCCACCAGCTTGAAGGGGCCCTGGGACACACAAATAAATACACACAAATAAAAAGATTCCCCATATTTTCCCATATGTTCTGGGTTTTTGTCTTCCCCACCACTTCCCATACTTTCCAATATTTTCTGGGGGATCGACGAGTAATTGTGTCTGTGTGTTTATTTCCCTCCTGACAGCTGCCCTCATCGGTGGGGAGAGGCCCCGCGAAACCCACAGGAACAGTCACACATGAACTCCAGGGGCGCCTGCAGCCAAGGGAGCCGAATTCGGGGGTGTCCCATATGGCCGGATCGCGTCGTGACGACCCCAGCGTTGGTTATCGGCACCGCGTGGATCGTTCCACCCTGAACGGTCGGCGACAGTTTCCATCGCCAGCTTGCTCCACCACATCGGTCGATTCTGGACCGCTGGCGGCGTTCAGTCTCGAACGCCCGCGGCGGGGCCGCCACCGCGCCAACACAACGCGAGCCTGGCGTACCCCAGCGTCGGTTCGACGCTGAGGGGTAAGGTCGCAGGTACGGTAAAGCCTAGGACAAAAGAACGTCCTTCAAGAACATGAGACCCTCCGTCGGCCAAACTGAAGAACATTGGAGGGTACCCTCCCCTGGGCCAAGAACATCCAACAAGCACCAAGAGCATCAGGGCATCCTCCCCGAACCGACCTCGACTTGACACCTCGGTCCGACCGTAGTAACAAAAAAAAGTGCCGCGACAACGCCAGCACTGGTTTCCGACACCGCGCGGATCGATCAACCTTGAACTATAGGCGGCCGTCCACCGTCCACACTTCCGGCGGAAGTGGGACCTGCTTTAATGATGTGTACTGGGGGACGCGCCCCCCGCCCCGTTCCACCAACCGGAACTGCCGTCACCCGAAAAAGCACGAGCTACGGCAGACCTGGCTTAGCAGGCAGGCAAGAGCCGCGCCCCGACGGCGCATTGGCGGAACATCACATGCTGAAGGCACGCCTGAACACATGCGGGAAGAGATGCGTGCAGACGCAGTGCCTCGGTGGGCATATCCCGGACCCTTCCTCCCGGAGCATCGCGAGGGAGAGCCGCAGCCGTGCACGAGGAAGGAGGCGGAGGAGGAGGAAGAAGGAGGAGGAGGAGGAGGAGGAGGAAGGGGGAGGAGGAGGAGGAAGGAGGAGGAGGAGGAGGAAGGAGGAGGAGGAGGAGGAGGGAGGAGGAGGAGGAGGAGGAGGGAGGAGGAGGAGGAGGAGAGGAGGAGAGAGGAGGAGGAGGAGGAGGAGGAGGGGGGAGCGGCTTGCAGGGCTCCAGGGCCCTGCCGCTCGCCGGGCCCCCTTGCCTGGGGTCCCGGCTCCACCCGAGGAAGAGGCGCCTCGGCGCACCAGCGTGCGCCCCCGGCCAGGTCGGGGAGGGGCGCGGGGGGCGCCGAGGCCTCGACCCCCAGCGGGCTGCGAGGACTGGGAATTCGCCTCCAGATCGGGCGCGCGCTCCCAGGGCTTGGACCTGCACGTTGTTTTTCGTTGCGCTGTCGTCTTGTGTTCGTTTTGTTCTCTACCTGCCTTCCTGTCCCTCCCTCCCAAGACGAAAAACAAGACACCGCCGAAGACCAGCAAAGCAGCGTGTAGGTGTAGCCCTGCACGCCTACATGGATGAATGCTCCGTGGATACGGCGCGTGGGCGCCAGATCCATGGATCGGAAAAGGCACCCCCGACACGTGGGGCCAAAACCGCCCCATTTGGTGGCAACGCTCGCCGATGTCGTAGGGAAGCGCAGTCCGTCGCTAGTCCACGCGCCCTAATCCATGTTGCAGTCAGGCCGAGGACATCAGCAGATCCTTCAGGACCATGAGACCCTCCGCCGGCCAAAACACCCCAAAGCCTCCCCCAAACAGTAGGGTACACTCCCCCAGGATGCACGAGAACATCCCACAAGCACGAAGAACTTCTCAGGGGTGAAGCGGGGGGCCCTTGGGCCAGCTCTGTGAGCCGCGCCGCGCACCGCGCAGCCACGGACCCCAGGTTCTGCTTGGCCGCCAGGCCTTGCAGTTACGCGCATCGAAAAGCATGGGAGCCCCGCTGGAGAACTGGGGACCAGGGCGAAGAGGCGTAGCCAAAGCGTCGGCGGAGGCTGCACCACCTGCTCCTGCACTCTTCCCCATTTGATCCGATTCTTACTCCAAGGACCTCTCCACCTTCCAGGCTTCACCGCCTCCTGCCGCGACGTCTGATTCGCCGCCTTGCGAGTCTTTCCACACCCACACTGCCAGGACTTGAGGAATTCTGTTTGGGACCCTACAAGCTTCCAGTCGCCCTCTGATGTAGCTGGAGAACGAGCATAAGAGTACCAAGACTGAACATGCCTCGCCATCCGAGAGCGCCTTCTCGCTAGCGAGAATAAGAGTGAATAAAAAAGGGGAAGGGCCTCCTGCCTTGGCAGGCGTCAGTGGAGGACCTGAGCTGTCGGGGGGGACTGCTCCCCCACGTTACAGTGTCAAGCCCTGAGCGAAACGCTACGGATTCGAGCCAAGATGGCTACGGAGGAGGACGAGGAGGAGGGGAGCAAGGAGAGGGAGGAGGACAAGGGGAGGAGGGGGAGGAGGAGGAGGAGGAGGAGGAGGAGGAGGAGGAGGAGGAGCGAGGAGCGAGGAGCGAGGAGGAGGAGGACGACGACGACGGCGAGGACGACGACGACGACGACGAGGAGCAAGGAGCGAGGAGGAGGAGGAGGAGGACGACGACGACGCCGACATTGAACTAGACGGAACGGCAATGCGCAAGCGACGCCTCCTTGACCTTCGCCTCGAAGGCGCTGGAGAGGACCTCGTCCTCCGGCGTGCGAAGTAACTCCGCCCTCCTGCCTCCCTCCTCCCTCATCCCTCCTCCCTCCTCCCTCCTCCCTCCTCCCTCCCTCCCCGAGCCATTTCGCTCGGGCCAGGGGGGGGCCGTGTTGCGGGGGGCCAACTTCGGAGTGGCCCTGCCCCCCGCGGGCCGCCATCGGGAGCCGCGATGTCCTCGCCTCTCTTGCCCCCGCCGTCTCCTCTTGCTCCGCCGCCCTCTTTTCTCCATCGCGAAGGCTCCATCGGGCTAAGGTGCGACACTTTCCTGGTCCTCGACGGGGTGCCAGCGGAGGCGGCGATCTGGGCCCCGACAAGCGAGGCCCCGTGCTCCTCCCTCCGAAAGGAGGACCTGGACTGAAAGGTGCGAAAAAGTGAAGAAGCAGTGGAGAGGCACTTGCGAAACATGCAGGCCTCGCCAGAGGCGAAAGTCGAGCCCCAGGCCAGCAGCTACCACAGACGAGGCGACAGCAGCGGTAGGCGACGATGGAGCCAGAACGGCGAGAAGGACGAGCCCAACGTCATCAGTTACAGCGCTGTGGTAAGGGCAAGGAGCTGAAGCCAAAAGCGAAGGTCGAGCCCAATGCCATCAGCTGCAACCGACGAGGTGCGGACCGCTGGCGGCGGCGATTCGACCGACAGCGGAAAGCGAAGTCCGAGCCCGACGACGACAGCGACAGCGCTGGCGACGGCGACGGACGAGCGACGAATGACGAGCCCGACGTCATCAGCTGCAGTGCGACGACGACGAGATACGAAGGACGAAAGCGAAGGACGAGCCCGACGCCATCAGCTACATTCGACGATACGAGCGCAGGTGGCGAAGGAGGAGACCGATGCGAGAAGCCACCCGAAGGTCGAGCCCGACGCCGTCAGCTACAGACGACGACTCGCGCGACGTTCAGGCCCGTCGAAGGACGAGGCCGACGATGGAGGAGAAGTCCGAGCCCGACACGATCAGCTACAGCGTGGGGATCGGGAAACCCTAGGCGAGAAGCGGGAGGCAAAATTGAAGCCCAAGCCTATTCTCCTCCTACTCCTAACCCTACTAACGCTACGGAACGAGCGGTGGAAGGCGAAGGACAAGCCCGACGTCATCAGTTTCAGTTCTGAGATCAGGGCATGCGAAACGGCCGAGCGCCACATGGTTCCGACACCACCTGGCGAGACGGGAGACGCGGAGATAGAGCCCGACCTGATCAGCTGCCGCGCCGGGATCTGGGCCTGTGAGAATGGCGAACGGCGCGCTGCAAACACAGCACCTTTCTGCGGGAAACACGGGGTGAAATTGGAGCCCGATGCCGTCATCCTGGCTACCGCAGTGCACTGTGAGAAGCCGGAAGCGAGGTTGGAGCCCACTGTCATCATCCTAGCTACCACGACGCGCTGGGAGAAGCGAGAGGCGAAGCTGCAGGAGCGGACGTCCCCAGGTACAGTTCTGGGATCAGCGCGTGCGCAAAGGCAGGCAGTGGGGCACGCAATGGCAGCGGACGCTGTCGTTGCGGGAAAACGGCTGCGAGAAGCGGGAGGCGAAGATGGAGCCCGATGGTCTCTTTGGCTAATCCGCTAGAAACAGCGCGTGCGAGAAGTGTAGAGGCGACAATCGGGGCAGTGGAACAGTGTACCTCCATGGCCTCAGCGCGAAATGGCAGGGGGGGCTATGTGGCAGGCCTCTTGCGATAAGCGGGAGGTGCAGTTAAAGCCTAAAATCGTTGAGAGCTCTGGGGCAGCCTATTGCGAGAAGCGGGGGGCGCAGCTGGAGCCCAATTTTAGCTCGAGCGGGCCATCTCTAGCTACAGTGCTGGAAGCAACTCGTGCGAGAAGGGGACGCAGGCAGTGGCAGCTGGGCTGCCAATGCGTGCGAGGGTGGAGCGAGGCTCGGGGACGGCCCAATGCGACCCCCGCTCCACGGCACGAAACCGCAGGGCGCCGTGATCCGTTTTGGCCCGCTCAGTCCGCTCAGTCCCTCCCTCCCCCATGACCCCATCCCTCCTCAAGTTTCTCCTCCATCTCCTCCTCCTCCTCCATCACCCTGCATCTCCTCATCCATTTCTTCCGCCTCCTCCTCCTCCTCCTCCTCCTCCTCCTTCTCCTCCTCCAATTCTTCCTCCTCCTCCTCCTCCTCCTCCTCCTTCTCACCATCATCCTCCTCATCATCACCACCACCACCAACATCATGTATCATCCCGCACTTCTTCTCTCGCCTCCTCCCGCCTTCCCATCTCCCTCGCCCCCCCCACTCCCCTGCTCTCAGCCTCCCGCTCACCCATCCCACAGAGCCTCCTCAACCTCCCCCTCGTCCTGCAGCGTCCCCCTTCCACCTCCTCATGTCTGCTCCTCCTTATCCTACGCGGCGTCACAACTGGCACAATTCCTGATTCCTCCCTCCTCCTCCTCCTCCTCATCCTCCTCCTCCTCACCACCACCACCACCACCACCATCATCACCACCACCACCACCACCACCACCACCATCATCATCATCATCATCAGCAGCAGCAGCAGCAGATCATCATCATCATCATCATCATCATCATCATCATCATCATCATCATCATCATCATCATCATCATCATCATCATCATCAGCAGCATCATCATTGTCAGCATCATCATCATCAGCATCATCATCACCACCATCAGCATCAGCATCAGCAGCAGCATCATCATCATCATCATCAGCAGCATCATCAGCATCATCATCATCAGCAGCAGCAACAGCAGCATCATCATCATCAGCAGCAGCATCATCAGCATCATCATCATCATCAGCATCATCAGCATCATAATCAGCATCATCGTCATCAGCATCATCATCATCATCAGCATCGTCAGAAGCATCATCATCAACATCATCATAATCATCATCACCATCAGCATCATCATCATGGTCTTCATGACCACCATCATCAGCATCATCAGCATCATCATCATCAGCATCATCATCAGCATTATCATCGTCGTCAGCATCGTCATAATCATCATCAGCAGCATCATCAGCATCATCATCAGCAGCAGCATCAGCAGCATCATCAACATCAGCATCATCATCATCATCATCATAAATATCAGCATCATCAGCAGCAGCATCATCATCATCAGCATCATCGTAATCAACATCACCATCATCATCATCATGATCAGCATCATCATCACCACCACCACCAGCATCATCATAATCATCATCAGCAGCATCAGCACCATCATCATCATCATCATCATCATCATCGTCATCAGCATCATCATCGGCAGCAGCATCGGCATCATCATCATCAGCATCATCATCATCATCATCATCATCATCATCATCATCATCATCGTCAACATCATCATCGTCATCAGCATCCTCATCAACATCAGCAACATCATGAGCAGCATCATCATCACCACCACAACCATCATCAGCATCGTCAGCATCAGCATCATCATCAGCATCAGCATCATCGTCATCACCACAACCATCATCACCATAATCATCAGCAGCAGCAGCATCATCAACACCACCACCAACACCATCATCATCAGCATCAGCAGCAGCATCATCATCAGCATCATCATCCTCGTCATCGTAATCGTCATCGTCATCATTATCGTCATCCCCATCATCGTCATCGCCGATTGTTTTTGTTCGATTCGATTCGCGTTCGCTCTCGGATCAGTCTCCGTGCCCATTAGGTCGCGAATGTTCAGGCCTTAGCGTGAAACGCCATTGATCAATGGGGTCCGACTGATAACATGAAAGAAGCGTGCATCGCTGGCATCGAGGTGCATGCTGATGTCATGTCTTGCAGTCCTGGTTCTCAGCGCTGGTGCTCCGATGAATCCCTCCTCGAGCTGCAGCCATCGTCATCATCATCCTCAACAGCATCAGCATCAGAATCAGCATGATCATCATCAGCATCAGCATCATCATCCTCAGCATCAGCATCATCATCATCAGCAGCAGCATCATCATCAGCAGCATCATCATTCTCATCAGCATCATCATCAGCATCAGCATCAGCATCATCAGCATCAGCATCATCAGCAGCAGCATCAGCATCATCAGAATCATCCTCATCATCATCATCAGCATCATCATCAGCATCATCATCCTCAACAAACAATGGCAATGAACCCGCCGTGTTGATATTCCTCCTCCTTCTCCTCATCATCATCTCTTCTCTCCTCCATTTCTCATCCCGCATCCTCCCTCCTCCTCCTTCCACATTCTCCCTCACGCATTACTCCTCCTTCCCCCCGATGTGCCACCTCTTCCCAACTCCCTCCCTCCCTCCCTCCCTCTCTCCTTCCCTCCCTCCCTCCGCTCCCTCCCTCCCTCCCTCCCTCCTCCTCCTCGTCCTCCCTTCTCTTCCCTCCCTCCCTCCCTCCCTCCCTCCCTCCTCCCTCCTCCCTCCTCCTCCGTAGAGCCGCCGCCCCGGCCCGAGAGGATTGGGGTGCCCTACCAGCCAGGGCGACCTCTCGCGCGGGGCAGCTGCCAGACGCGCCCGCCCCCCCCCGCGCGCCCAGCGACGGCGCGCAGCGGGAGGGCCAGCCTGGACCGAGGCGGCGAGCCGGCCTGGCACAGACGTGCCAGGGCCGACAGAGGCAGAGCCAGGACTGTGCTGCGTGCCGCCGCCGCCGGTGGATTGCGAAGCAGCCACCACGGCAGCACGACGTGGACATCCCAGCGACGTGGCAGGCAGCCCTCACGCTCACGGCAGTCATCGCGCCGCCGAGGAGCACCGTGGCAGGGACAGCAGCAGCAGCAGCAGCAGCAACGCTACCTTTGGGAGTGTCCAGCATGCAGCTGCGCCAACCAGTGGGAGGCCACGAAGTGCGTGCAGTGCCATCCGCAGAAGCAGCAGAACAGCACGCACAACAAGACAGACTCAGCCTCCATGCCTGCTCCATGGAGGCGCTCAGGCTCCCGTCGACCACCGAACAACACTAACGAGCACGAGGACGCGCTGAACACTTTATTGCTTGCCACATGGTCGCAGGCACCAGTGCCTGGATGGAGCATCTGTCGCCTGCGTGGTGGAGACGCCAGGCGCCCTGTAGTTTCCATTGGGAGCCACTAGAAGCCTTGCAGTCAAGTCCAGTGTGCTATACAGTTGACTTCGACCAGTGAGTGCATCATGACAGCAGTCCCGACCAGATTGGCAAAGCCCCGACTCGTATCGTTGGCCTCAGGATGCCCACTCTGGCCTCCAAGCTACTCAATGCAGGGAGACGAAGGAGACGTCATCATCCCAAGGGATCTCACCTGACCCTCGCTGGCAAGACAGCTGAGGGCGCCTTTCGGACCAGCCGGAAGGGGGGGGGGGAACAAAAAAAAAAAAAAACGTACCCTCCCAGCATGTGCAGACACACTGCAGAGGCAAAGGCTGAGCCCATCCGTGCCCAGTTTGCTGCGCTGTCCGAACGCGATGCCAACGCAGACGACCATGATCCGACCTTGGTTGACGACCTTTGGGCCGTCCTTGTCAGGGACATTGGAAATGATTTCGAGGAGGCCCCCGACTATGCCCGCACCAAGCAAGGAGATCGGAACAACAAGCACAAAGTCGATCCGGAAAAGCATCGGTTCACAGATCCATTCGAGCCGCGTGGGCGCGGTACCTCTCCGACCCCTGCTCCTGAACGCCCCACCTCCCCCTTTTCCCCAGGGGACCTGAGCGAGGAGCTTGAGGTAGAGGTCTTGTTGGGCTCTTCCCCTGCCTCTCCCTCCCCTCCTCCGCCTCCCCCTCCCCCTCCGCCCCCTCTCGCCGCCGAGCAGCTCTGCCCGCATGGCTGCCAACCGGAGGGAGGCCAGGCTCAGGAGGGGGAAGGCCAAGCGAGCTGCTGAACATCGGCAGCGCGCGCCCTGGCAGGGCGCCCTCCAATTCTCCTTCGGCCCCCCTCCCACGGGCGGGCCCCCTTTCCTTTTGCATGTAGCATATTGCAGCATGCGGCAGTCAGTGCTCAGACACCATGTCTCATGCCACCGTGCCACCACCTCCTCCGTGGCCACTTTGGCTCAAGCATCTCGGCTCAGGTCCTTTAGCAACCTGCGTGGCATGGACGCGCTGGCTTGCTGGAAGAAGAGTCTCTGATTGGGATCGAGTGTTCCTTGCGCCCCAACGTGGTGATTGGGGGGTGCCGCTCCAGCCGTGGCTTCGTCAACAGCCTCTAGCGGTGGCTAAAGCAAGGTGTTCGGCTTCGTGGGATACGGTCTCTGCACTTATCCATCATGAGCATCACCGTCTCGCATCGTGTAGCGTGGGTGCTGATGTACGCGGAATGGACGAACATTGTACAGCTCTGTATTTCAACGTTCTCCACATACGCTTGCCCTATAGGAGTTCGAGCTCAAAACCTACTAATTGATCCGTTGCCCTGCTCCTGATTCCTATGCCCCCCTAATTCCTATGGCTATGCCTATGCCTATGCCTATGCCTCCCCCCTAACTCCTGTGCCTACGCATATACCTATGCCTGCTTGCTTGCTTGCGTGCTTGCGCGCTTGCGCGCTTGCACGCTTGCTTGCGCGCTTGCAAGCTTGCTTGCACGCTTGCTTGTTTGCTGAATTGCGGATTCCAAGCATGCTTGATTCCTCTATTTGGAGTCAGCGCTGGCTGATATTTGCGTATAGACCCTGGCTTCGAACGTTACAGGACCCTGGGCAAAGGCGAATCAAGCTGGAGCACGTCAACATTGTCTTACAACGGTTCTTGTCGGCGCTGCTGGATGGGTCGCTTTTGGGCAGGTCGGTCTCGTTTGGGCTTTCGGTTCGTCTCGGGTGCAAGGTCCATGGGGGGAGCCTGGTAGTGCACTGACCCACCCGCCTGCACCCGAGCGTACTATCTCTAGGTGCTCTTTCTCAGCTCCTCGGCATGTTCCGTCAGTCCCTTTATTCGTTGTGTTTGGTAGTGTGGTGCAAGGTTTTCAATTCGTATGCACTTTCTCTCTCTCTCTCTCTCTCTCTCTCTCTCTCTCTCTCTCTCTCTCTCTCTCTCTCTCTCTCTCTATATATATATATATGTATGCATATCTGTATACATCCACGGTTGGGTGTTGGAGGGAAGAAACTAGGTGTTGTCTTGTGAGGCTGCCTGTGGAGGAGGCGATCTTTATGATACACGTGAGAGGTTGCCCGGTAACCTGTGGTGCGAATCACAGTAGGGCCGAATCGAACCGAGTTCAGCCAAGTTTGCGTTATCAGTGTGTGGCGAGGAATCCATCCCTGGTATGCATGGCGATATCCGTCATCCTCAGGCTCTGTTCAGGCGTCCTACGCTGGGGTCCATCTTCTGGTTCGTCTACTTCGCGGGTGAGCTCAGGCGGCGGCCTCAGGTGTAGAGTAGAGTTATCAGTAGAGTTGTATCGCACCTGCGATGGTGGTAATCCTGGAAATCCCTCCTACCTCCTCCCTCCTCC